TGTCTGGAAGGAGGTCACCAAATATGACAGGAAGACATCTGGAGGTGCAGAGTGAAGTGGGAACATCGGTCAATCTGTAAACTTCAGTAAACACAGACAAAACCAAAACGGTCCTTCCCTTCAGAGTTTGTCAGATCCATGGAGGGGTTTCACCTGCCGGCGATAGACCCCTGGCTTTTTCTTGCTGCCTTTTTCTCTCAGAGAACAGGCGCGTCGAATCGGTGGGTGACAAAAGGAAGGACAGGTGACAAATAGAGAGATAGCGCGGGGCCTCCCGGAAAAGGGGAGGAATGAGGAAATCTAAGATTCAGTGGATATTATCCTCTCATCTCAAAGCTCTCTCTCAAAATCCATGGATGTGATTCAGTGTTCCCTTTTTTCTGACCCCAATGTAATGACTTTAAAGAGCAGCATCAGTGCTGCCTGGTGGAGATACATTTAGTTTCACTCCAATGAGAGAAGCAGTTCATCAGTATCGTTCCACCCCCCAAAATCACTTGGGCCCTACGAGCGTTTTGTTTTTGTTTTTTCCCATATGTTTTTCATTTAAATTTTTTTGGCCACCTGACACCTAGCCTTCATTCGCTCTGGACTCTTTTCTGTAAGGGTTTTCCAAGAGGTAGCGATACCTGTCGTAGTTCTCCAGCATGTACTTGGGGGCGTACATGTGCTCTTTGGGGTCCACAGGGGGATACTCCTGCAGCGAGCCGTCAAACCAGCCGCCAGTCCGGATGAGATCGCGGATGTAGTTGAGGTCGCGTTTGTCCTCGTAGTCGCCCCACCGCGGGAAGTCTCCGTTCTGCGCCGACACCAGCTTAAAGTAGATCCCCTCGGGTGTGAAGCACCAGGAGCAGTGCCACCCTGCGAAGTGGAACGGGCTTCCCACCGACCACTGCACCAGGATGTGGCCGGTGTCATTCTCGTATTTGCGGAAACCCGGCATAGTGTAATATTCGCGACGACGCAGTTTGATGCCGTCGCCATCGTACACGTCGTGCAGCATCCTCAACGTGCAGCCCGACACCACCTCCAGAGACCCGAACTGCTTCCAGAAAAAGCCATACAACGACTGCACACACAGAGAAAACAGTACAGGAGAATTGCAAGAAGAATGAGATACTGTCACCACATTTATTCTTCCCTTAATCTTACATGGTGAAGAAAAAATAAATAAATCTTAATTTCACGTAACAAACTGGCTGCTTGTAGAAAACACACGAAAACTTCTGTTACCTTGCGCATGTGGATGGCGAAAGGCTCTGTCCACCCGTCGAACAGCTTGAGGAAAAGTAGTCCTTCGTGTGCTGGGATTTCGTCGGCATCGTTGATGACGAAAACATCGTCTGATCGCGCACCGACCACCCTGGACATGCCATTGTGCGTCAGGAAGGTACGCAGGTAGTCATCGGCGATCCAGCCGTCCTGCCGACCCCCATCCGGAAAGTGGTTGAGGAACACGTACAGGATCTTGTGACGTATGTAGTCATAGGTACCGTTTAGAAGGAGCCGCAGGAAACTGAGGGAGGGATTACAAAAATGTAATTACGTGGATTCTTTGATCCAAACAAAAATTAACAGGTTTTTTTTTCTAAGCTCAGCATTTTAAGTAACACAGTTGCATTTAGATTAATTTTACCTACTGTTCCAGGCAGCCATTGCTTTCCTTTATGCAGGCCATTTACAAATGCAAATGCAGGCCATTTTCCTTTACTGACATGTAGCAGACATAAGTTAGCAAGAGCGTAGATTCTTCTTGTCAAAGTAAGGCTGCCACTTGCAATTTTAGTTTTCCTAAACTTCGAACACTGAGAATTTTCAGTTTCAATAACACCTACTTACACTTTCTACATTTTGAGCTAGCAAGTGCACACCAAAGTTAGTTTGACTATTAGCAGTTACCCGTTAGCCACATTAGCCAATCTGCTATTATAAGGGTAGCTATTATTAGCTATGGCTAATATTAATAAGGCTAACAATGTCGGTAATGTTATTAACAAGAGCAGCAAAAGTTACAAGAGATGTCCGTCTGTGACGTTAGGATTGTGTTAATTTAAAGGGTAACACAAATGCTTATTATTTAGAACTATTAATAATTATTCAACAATTAGTCCCCCTGTGAAAATTTCCCTTTTAAAACTATTATTGAACTGAGAAGTGAATAGCAGTTTTAAATTTCTTGATGATACTTCTTACTCCAGTTCTTGAGACTTGAAACACTATTTTAAATTTGTATATCCATCTCCTGTTTTTGTGATTGAAAACCGTTATTCTCTACTCTAAACAGATGGTTTTCTTAGTGTGATGCTTTCTCCAGTGACAGCTAAAGAGTTTTCACGGTTTGTAAATTGTAAGGTTGTCCTCAGTTTTAGATTTTACAAGCTATGAACATTAAAAATAAATATGCTACAGCTAAAAAAAACAAAAAAACAAAAAGACAGTTTTTCAGTTTCTAATAATGACTCTGGTCTTTTTTCTGAAATAATTTGATCTCTACAGAAACTTGTTGCTCTGTTAAAAAAAAAAAAAAAAAAAGAAGTTCTTGGGGAGATTTGGACAAAAACTTTAAATTTCATAGGGGTACTAATCATTTGTGTATTAGCATGTTGCTGACACAGTTGTGCCGAGTTTCCCCATCTCTGAGTGGCATTAGGTGACTGTGCCAAGAAACAAAATTAACGAAGGAAACTGATTCACTGCATTTATTACACGATGCCTTCTGGTGGGAAACACACCAACAGAACTGCAGTATCATGCATCCATAATGTGACGTTCCCTGTAATGGATTTCACAAATTTAAAAGGCTTATAATTATAATTTTTTGCCCCTCTGAAGAAAAAATAAATAAAAAATTGCAAACCAATATTGAATTAAAGGGTCAACAAAATACATTCCAGCTGTGGCCCATTTATAAAAGGTTGTCAAAATGTGGCAGAAGAGATAAAGAAACAGTTCAGAAAGGCACTTGTTTGACAAATGGCACCTTTCAGCAGAGAAAAGCCGTTCTCCTCACGCCAAACTGTCCAGAAGAACAACTCAATTAACCTGTTGATATGCATAGCGAAAGACAGCGATCGCAGAACATAGCCGCTTTCATGCAGTGTCACATCCGATGATTGAACACACCGATCTCTCCCTTCAAGGCTACACGCAGAGTCAATCATGCTGCTCTTGTCATAATCTGCTGTAAAATTTGCCCTCGAGGCGTTTCATGTCGTCGCCACAGGAAGCTAACTGTAATTGTTATTCCGCACGCGGATACTCGAGGAGCACGAGTAGGCCTGGCTGTAAACAAAGAGGGTAAGCTGCAAACAATAACAACTCATTGAAACGGCGCTGTCACAAGTTGGATAAAGGAGAAAAAAAAGGGGGAAGTATGTGTGCGTGTTTGTAACCAAGCAGCTGGGAGAAAAAAAACAATGAGCACAAATGGAGCTTCTATTGTTTAACAGTGTGTCCTCATGTGAGCTCATTTATCATTATAAAGACATAAAGATGACATAACATGGCCTTTATAACATATACACACTGTTCTTGTGACTTAATCCAGTTTAAAGTTTGCCGAGTTTGCACTTTATTTCACAATGCGTACTGTCGGGCACTACAGAGTCATAAACTGAAGGCCACAGAGGACTACACATCTCACACAAATACACCTTGACCGCGGGGGGTTGGGTGGTTTTTATAATCCCTTCACATGCACCTGTCCAAAAAACAACTTTGAATCATACCTGAGAGGCCGTTTCTCTCCGTAGGCGGTGAAGTTCGATTCGCACACGAGGAACAAATCCACGGCCTCTGAGAGCTCATGAAAGCGTGCGTGCAGCAGATCAAACTCGTGGTTGACGTTGATGGCGTTGATCACCCTCCGCGGGGTTTCTCTGGGCGTCAGCCGCTCCTTAGTTGGCAGATTGGAGTGGTACACCATTGTGGGAACCCCGCAGTAAGGTCCGTGCCACCCAGGCCGACAAACGCACTTGACCAGCCGCTTCCCGTTGCCCTTGGCCCGAGCTTTGACCTTTGGCACAATGGTGGGCTGCTGCTGGAGCTCCAGAGGTTTCCGTTGCCCGGCAGCAACAGCCCGACCAACTGCTCCGTTAGCCGCAGACCCCCCTGATTTTCCATAGTACTCTTTAGGAGTAGCTACCTCTGTCCCCTGCCTGAAGCAAAGGGCTCCAGCTTTGGTGCGCACAAAGTAAGGGGTTTTGTCATCTTGAAGCTGGAAAGTGCGAGTATGGAGGTCTCCCATGGATTCTATGGGATCCCTGAAATGATGCTCTTTTCTTGCTGGTTCCTGTGGAGGGTCTAGCCTATCGGGCGGTGCAGGGTGGGCGGGATTCCACCGCTTTAAGCGGTCCTCAGCTCTAATCTGGATAAAAGAGAGTAACGGGAAACAGTTACACAACTCTGCCTTGAAATAAAAACACCAGCTTTACTCATTATACTCTTCACTGTAAGATTCACATTAAAGCGAAATTGTATTTAACAAACACTTGCGACAAACCCGTGTCCTGTCAGGTACAAGCAGGAGACTAATCAGTTTCTTCTAATTTTGGTGGTTACGCAAATTGTGTAGTGCGGTGTATTTCAGGTTTTCCTGCCTGATTTACACCCAGTCTGTCCATTTTGGCAACCAAAAAAGATCCACAGTGATAGTGAGTCCGAATTACATGCTCTCCATAGCATCTAGGAAAACTCAAAGACTAATATCATTCTTTTTTGACAGCACCATTTGTGCCTGGGAACAGCAGGTACAATTTAAACTTCAGAGACCCAAGTCTTAAAGTCTAAGCACAACGGTTAGCCAATATAAATTAGGGCAAATTAATATTAATGTTTAGCATTGAATTCTTTTTACTGTTTCTTGCAGTAAATCACTGCATGAACACTAAATATTCCCTCCTTATTACAAAACAAATGGATTTGGTGATGTTGAGCATGCATTTGGTAGCTGTTCACCTGAACTCTCGTTATGAAGAATGCCATGAGTGACAGCAAAAAACATGGTTAAGAAAAAACCCTTCACAACATGTAATCAGAGTCACGTACAGAGAGTTTCCAACGAGGTGCACACCCCTGGGAACACTCAAGGGCGAGACGGTCAGATGAACTGAAGTGTACATGGCTATACCTCCTGCTCAGATTCAGCCAAATGCTGCAATGATCAGATGACACTGCACAGTGGAAACAGATAATGACCCGCAGCATACTGCAAAAGCAACCCTAGAGATTCTCAAGGCAAAGAAATAAGATATTCTTGGGTGGCCAAGTCAGTTACATTAGTGCAATAGAGCATGTTATTCAGTAATTGAACGAAAAACTGAAGCAGAGAGTCAGAAAAACAGGCAGCAACTGTAGGTGGCAGCAGTAAAGGTCTGGAAGAGCATCTCAAGGAAGGAAACGCAACATTTGCTGCTCTCCACGAGCTCTCGACTTCAGGCAGTCTGCCTGAATCAAAGCTAAAAGTCCGCACTTCATTTACATCTTGATTGTTTGGTTTAAAACCCTCCGTGGGGGTATATAGAGGTAACACTATAAAGACAGTGTTGAGATGAGCCGCTTTGAAAGTACTAACCTCACATTACATTTTTTGAGGCTAAATTGCATGAGCACACATTCAGTGAAGCACCAGACATGCTGCAATTTGTTTATGGCACAAGTGATACTGTAATGCTGTTAAGACATGCTGGTGCAGTAGGCAAGCAAGGTAAACATGAGCAGAAACATTTAGAGATGCTTATGCTTCAACTTGTTCAGCAGCTGCTGGAGAAACATGTTGCATGTATGGCTTTAAATAGATTTTGTTGATTTGAGTCAGCTCTGTGTGCGTGCGTGTGTGTAGTGAATCACCACTCTGAGTCTGGATTTAAGTGATGTTATTAGCTCACAGCATGCTCTGCAAGATTTCATTTCACATTAAATTATTTTAGGTACCTAAGTGCAACCCCCCTTTAAATGATGTCACTTCCTGTTTCGGGCAGGACATGGCAGACATGCGATAGTTCGCGCTGATGGACGTAGGAAGTGTTACAAACAGCTGATCGGA